CATGAACACATATCAGTGGTTCAGCAACTCTTTTATCTTAAAAAAAAATCTTTTACTTTCATGCTTTGAGGACAGATTATTGAAATAAATCTTTTCATCCATATCAGTCCTAATCTTGCTTCCATGTCCTCCTGCCAAATCAATTACGGTAGGTATATTGATGTAAGGGACAGAGCTGTTTAACTAGTAAATTCTACAGCTGTGTAATACTTTCTCCCATGACTGCAAAGATTTAAATAGGTTTTTAAAAATCAATAGTTCAAATAAGCTATGCATAATTTTTCATTTCATTCACTAATAATTTTATATAAGAATTTTATTTGAAATCTTGTTTTATATGAAATGTTCACATATAATATTGCAGTTAAATAAACCTAAGAGACTCAATTAAAGATTGCAAGGCATAAAATCCAAAAGGATGCTCCTTCGTCCTTGTTGATATTATACAACAGCACATGGTAGAATGCAATTCCTTAAGATTGCAGGATACTATTGCTATGGAGTTGATAAAATCTAAGTCAATGTCTGCTGCATTACTGATCTAAAGATCATTTCCAAATATTACATTACTAAAGAACATTCTCAGAATTCTCTGGATTCTAGAATATTGAGTGGAACTGATCCAAGTACATTAGACCAGTGGTCGCCAACCAGTGGGCCGTGGACCACTGGTGGTCCGTGAGAAAATTTTGGTCGTCCGCAGAGAAATGTTCCCCCCAAAGCAATTAATCCAGGCTGCGTGGGAACACAAGGCTGTGCTGCCCACATGGCCTGTGGGAACACAAGGCTTGCGTCGGTTGCATTGCGAATAGCACAAGGTAGTAAGGAGAGGGGGGAAAGGGCAGAGGGGGGGAACTTGCCCCACGCAACCCATGCGCCTGGCCTGGCCACTGGGCTGCTTCTTTCCGCTTCTTTCTTCTTCTGCTTTTGGCTTCACACAAGGAAAGCAGCAAAAGTCTTTCATACTCTCCACAAACTCTGCTAGAAATGAGTCTTTGGGACCCCTCAAGGCATCCTGTTCCGAGAGGCTGTGCCATTTCTGGTGGAGTTTGGGGAAAAGAAAGAAAGATTTCTGCTGCTTCTGCTGCTTTCCTTTCATGAAGCCAAAAGTCTCTCTGTCTCTCTGTCTCTGTCTCTGTCTCTCTCTCTCTCTCTCTCTCTCTCCCCCTGAGAACGGAGCTGGAGACAGTATCCTGCAATCCCAAATAAAGAATGATCAATTGGTAAGAAAACAGGGTGGGGAATTTTTCTGCAGACTTTTTGGGGGATTTTCCCAGGGTCTCTGGTTCGCGGGATTTAAAATTATGAGTTTAGTGGTCTCTGAGGTCCAAAGGTTGGCAACCCCTGCATTAGACAGCAATAAAATAACAAGATCAGATAACTGAACTCAGCCATAATAATCTTGATAATGTAAGTCTGTTGGCATCTCTGTGCTCATAATAAATATAAATGATGACACATAGAAGAACAAAGGTTCTAAAAGCACGTACCAGCCACACTTGCTTGCTACTAGTGATCACTTATAAACAATGTTCTTAGAATCATCCAGGGATGCCCAAATAGAAAAATTAATGGAAGACAAGGACAATAATAATGTTGATGGATGCAGATCTCCTGCCCAGATCCAGAGGACATCAGTTAAAATAAATCCATATAATAGATGTGTTCAGATTGAGGCAGGGAAGATTGAAGTAACATACCATGAAGATTAAGTGCAGTAGGAAAATGAGCAAAGGAAACCTACCATGTTTCTCCAAAAAGAAGACCGGGTCTTATTTTCTTTTGAACCAACCCTCCCCCCCCCACAAAAAAGGGCTAGGCCTTCTTTTTGGAGGGTTCTAATTATTGACTCACTTCACGGTGGTGGCATAGACAGCCCCACCCAGCCCGCTGCTGGCCCATTTTTTCTATCAGAGCTCTGTTATCGGCTGCAGATGCCTTCCAGGAGTGATGGGTGCGAATGGTGACAAGTGGCCACAGAAGAAGGCGAGGCAGGTGTCAGGGTGTGCGAGGCCTGGTAAGAAGGGCAGCTCCACCCCCCCATCCCCACCCAAGCTTATTTTTTACTGTGTCCCTCGTCCCATCCCCTGCACCCCAGGGTGGGTGGGGCCTTAATTAGGGCTAATTTTGTGGGTGGGGCTTAATTTGATCGCATGCGCTCAAAAACGTGATGCGGCTTCTTTTCAAGGTGGCTCATCTTTGTGGAGAAACACGGTAGTCAAAATATAAGGTTGATAATTCAAAGAGATGCTTGTAAAAGAATATTGAGAAAGAGTGACAAGTTGGGAACAAGTGTATATCTCTCCCTTAATTTTAAGGTTGCAACTGTACAGTTAGAAACAACTGTGAAAGTCTGACTCACAGATGAACACTATACAGAAGCCTGATGATGGCAGATGAGATTCTGCCGAAACGTTGCTACAACTTTAAAAGCACAACTACAATGACGTGGGAAAATACCCGAACAAAGCTGAATGCCATACATGTAAGTACCCGCGAAAACTTAAGAAAATAAATAAATAAATATATAAATATATATAATTATTTGTTTGTTTGTAGGTACTTACCATTCAGGATCAATTCTGAATGGTAAGTACCTACAGCCAGGATTCTGAACAAAAGGGATTCAGGTTTGTCCACATTCTAGAGGAAAAATGAGAATGTAGTCATCTCTGTAGTCATCTCACTGCTTCTCGAAACCCTGGCTCCAGATGCATCTGATGCACATCCTGGTTGACAACTAGTCATGTCTAACTTCCTCTGAATAACAGTTGTCAGGGAACATAAACAGAACGGTGTCATTGTACTCATGCCCTGCTGGTGAGCCCTGATGTGGTGAGGTTAGAATGCTAGACTAGGTTGGCCTGATCCAGCAAAGCTCTTAAGGGGAGCAGGACCCAAGGTTCAAATTGCCCCCGGGGTAGGGAAGATACAGGAAAGATGCCATTAAACATTTAAACAGATCTCAATTCCATGAATTTCTCTTGCTGAGTTATGATAACTTTTAAAAGATCTGTATCAGTTCTTTGCCCTCAGGGCAAGTACGCTCTGCCTAATTCTGGCTCCTAGTATATCCTGCCAAATAGTGGAAGAGCTGCTGCCTCTCTCTGGTAGTTCAATGCGACACTCTATCCAGTCTTAACAGCTGTACTATGGTAGGAGAGAGAAGCAGCTGCTTTTAGCCGTTTGGTTATTTGAGTAGACAACTGTGCATCGGGGCAGTTGCCTCTACTGACACACACCCCCTCTCCTCATGGCAGCACGGCAGGAAGAATAAATCTCTTCCCAACTGTTTTTTATTCAGGGAAGGAGGACAAAGACTGAGTAGAGTGCTGTGGACTCAGGTCTTCCTTGCTGCCTTTCTGCAGTCTACTCACTTTGCTTGAGCAGGTGAACAAATCCATCCTTCCCCTCCACCTTTCCCCCAAAACCTCGTCTGGGGGAGGCAGGCAGTATGCAAAACCACGCCTACTCCGAAAAAACTCAACTGGTTCCCTGGTGCCCCAAAAGGTTGTGGGGGAGCACGCTGGTTTAACTGAGCCCTGGAAGAAGCCACCCTTTCCTCTTTCCTCCTCTTTGAGCACTAGGGCTATGTGAAGGTTATAGTTATGTCCACACAATAAGTTGGAAAAGTTAAGGGAGAGCTGTGTGCCATCATCTAAAACTGCCCCCCCCCTTGCAAACTTATTTACTACTAGGGCCAGAAGCTTTCAAACTATTTTGGGTGGCTTTTTTTTTTTTTGCAAATTCAAAACAGATCTGATGCCGATTATTAAGCCACAAATGAATGACTAAAGTGACAATGCATACATCTTTGCATGCAATCATACCCAATGCATCATACACCCTTCTGGTGATTAGTTTGTTGTGTGAACATGGCCCATGTTTGCTCTTCACCCAAGAGCAAAAGCCACCAGAATCTGAAGTTCTTGGTAACTGTCTCTTCTGCTTGTTTACCTAAATGGGCCTATGAGTAACAGAGAGATGGCTAAAATAAGCTGCTGCCAGTCCCTTCACTCCCCCTAATGGCACAGTATATGAGACTGAATGCTGTGGACAAAATGTTACTCCCCCAGCCTTCTGGAGGAAAAGAACAAGCAAAGGAAGACCAGTTGTTTTTCACAGTTGCAGCAACATGGCTTGCAGTCACCCAAGCTGGGAATCAGCCATGGAGTTCATGCGTTCAAGCTATATTGTAACTGTTAAGTTTATGCAGCATACTGAACCATAAACCAAGGTTTACAGAGCACAGCAACTGGGTTGGATCACAAACCACATCATGACTTAGTGCCATGCAGATTTCATTCATGGGGTGCGGACAACAGGTGCTCCTTACAACTGATGCTCTTTCACTCACCATGGAGCAGTAACCTCTACCAGGCCAAACCCAAGCAAACCAAGGGGGAAGATGGCAGCTCCTCTGATCTGTCTGCTTTGGTAGGCGAAAGAGAGAAATTTCCCAAGAAGCCCTCCTGCTGACAGTGACAACCCATCAAGATTTGGCCTTGATTTGCAGTTGCCTAGAAAGGCTGGCTCTCCGTGAAAGGCTCTGAATCAGGACGTGGCAAAGATTTAAAGCTTGGGAGAAAAGTTCGGAGAATAAAGAGAGCGCAAAGGCTCAGAATGGAAAGCGGATTTCCAGGCTAGGTCTTCAAATCCAGGCAGCCAAGTTTTAAACTCCAGGGGGCGAGAGGGCTCTCAAGCGGGAAGAATAAATAGCACTGTAATTCTCGGCTTTAATACTGTACCATCCAGGCATGGAACCCAGGAAAGTGATTGGGAGGTAAGAGAGAGCGAGAAGGGAGAGATGTCCCAAGCGGGAAAGACAGAGGAAATGGCAAAAAGCCTTCGCGGTGGAAGGAAATCGCTTGATACCTCCCGCCCTCCCGGGAGCCAGGAGGAGCATTCATCCGTGAGGGCAATGCAGCCCTAGGACCCGGCAGGACCCCCTTTTCCCAAGGAGAAGGCGACTGGTATCCCCCCCGGCAGGGGCTGCTCACCTCGAACATAAGCGAGATCAACACACAGAGCACCAAGCAGAAGCCGATGTCAGCGTGGTTGTGGATGAGAAACTCCTGGCTGAAGAGCGGGTGGCTTTTCGCCCGCCTGCGGAACGCCATGGCCGGCAGGGACGCGAGCGAGCGGCCCGGCCCCACCGCCCTCGCCTCCGCCCAGCGCCGCCAACTTCTCCCCGGCCCCTGGACAACTTCGCGAGCAAGGCAGACCGGGGCCAGAACCCGACCCCCCCACCCACCCACAACCCTCCCAACCTTGCGCAGGCGTCGTTCTCGCCGGCTGGCTGGCTGGCTGCTCGGCCCCGCCTGGCTTAACCCTGTATCTGCCTGCCAGGGCTGAGGCGTGCGGCCGGGCCGGCTGGAGGCTCTGGTCCTCGCGCGGCGTGGCTGGAGACGCCGCCTCCTGCCAAAGTCCGGCCTTGCAGATTCTCCCAGACCAGGACCTCCCCTGCTGAATGAAGCCCAGCCTAGTTTCGTGGCACCATCCTTCCCGGCAGAGTTCCTACTGCCGGGGAGGCGAGCAAACCTGGTGGACGGGGAAATCTCTGACCATGGTTAAAAGAACCCCGCAATTCCATCTAGAGACTCTACTAGACGGTAGCTGTTGACATAGCAGCTCGATAGGATGAAAAAAAAAGAAAAAGGGTTCAAATATTTGAGTGCCTGAGAATTGGGTGTGTAGGGAGGCAGTCCAAATCCACTCGGGTTTTATTCTGCATAGAACTTATTCCCAAATGTACATGATCAGTGACACTGATTCAGTGTGCCTTCCAAAAGTGAACTATACATATTTTCTCATTGTCGCCCTGTTTGTTTTTTTTAATAAACTTCTTGGGGATCTGCTAATGCCAGCATTTTATCTCAAACCACCTTAATAAAACATAGATAAATAAGCTATTTTTTCTGCCATAGGGATCTTCCCCATGACTATCCAAGTGGCTCTAGATAGCAAGATGGGTGGCTTATATATGTAATAAATAATAAATAAATGTAAATAAAAAAGGCTAATCAGCCAGATAATGTGCCCTTACAGAAAGGGCCTTGGGAGTCCATTTCCCATGTCAAAAACCAATAACTTATTTATTAAAAGGAAACATTTCTTTTGAAGGTGGTAATGAGCACACATACAACAAACATCTGAATTATGTTTTCCCTTGTTCTGTTATTACACTATTACAGCCACTATTTCATCTGTCTACCTTTAATACAGCCTTCTATAATATCTGCTCCTAATAATTCTTGAGTTAATTGCTGTTAGTCATGCTGCTCTCTGCTCCAGACAGCAATGAAGGGAAAACTAAGGAGAGGCATGAAAAAAGCCTGTATCTCAGGATCACCTTTGAATAGACAAGCAAGAATTCACAAAATACAGTATTCATTAAGAGTTCATAAAGCTAATTTTGCACTTTTGATAATTTCACTTACCAATCAACTTGTTTAGTGACCAAAGTTATAATGGTGCTAGAAAAAGAAACTTTATGACCAGTCCTCGGATTTATCACCTTTTCAGCAGCATCCATGCAGTCACATGATTTCTATTTGCCTGCTTCATAACAGGGCTTCTAACAAGCCGAGTCCATGGAGAAGCTGGCAGTAAATTCGCAAATCACAATAGTGACATCTCGTTTAATGATTGATGATAATTTGCATAAAGACGGCAGCAGAAGTGACCATCACAGTCAGATGATATCTCAGTGACTGTGTCGCTTAGCGACAGAATAGCTGGTCCCAGTGGTTGTTAAACAAGGTCTATCCGAAATCCCATCTTCTGAAAAAATTCAGGGTGGCTTACATGAGTCAACGTTTCTGCCCAAGACAAATTTGTGCAAGTCTGTTGTAATTTAGAAGAATAACAAAAAGTGTCTTTCCATAGCTGAAAATGAGAGCTTCCCATCCTAGACCATTATGCTGCAGCATCCTGGTACTGCATAGTTCATAGTGGTTTTATACAGTGTTCTGGAGCTAGAATGTTGCAAACAATATAGCCCATCTACAACTTAAGAACCTGTGAAAATATTTTTTTTAATTTATTTATTTTTAAAAAAAATTGCATATCTCTACATTGTTAACAGTATTGAGTCATCAATAATACATATATTTACATTTATTCCTATACATTAATCCTTATTTCTGTGTTCTACCCATTTATACCATCTATCCAAAATCGCATGATATTCCGATTTGTCCTTGCCTTTTAATTCTGCTGTGAGTTTATCCATCTCAGCACAGTCCAGTATTTTTTGTATCAGGTTTTCTTCGGATGGTATCTTTTCTGTTTTTCAGCCCTGTGCAAGAAACTATCCTTGCCGCCGTTATTATGTGTAAAATGAGGTATTGGATTTGTTTGCTAAATTTCCCTTTGATTATTCCTAATAAGAATATTTCAGGTTTAAATTCTGTTTGGTGTTCTGTAATTTCTTGTAACCATCTTCGTATCTTCATCTAATATTTTCTAGCTCTTGGACATTACCATCACATGTGAAAAAATGTTCCGTCTTTTTGTTTACATTTCCAACATTCTGGTTTTGCATTTGGATATATTTTGGCCAATCTCGCTGGTGCTAAATGCCATCTATAGAACATTTTATACTGATTTTCTTTGTACGTTGTTGACAATGTTAATTTGCAGTTTTGGGTTCATGTTCTTACCTAGTTCTCTAATTTTATATTTTGACCTATGTTAAAAATATTTTTTACCAGTAGTCCTCATCTTGCAATCATTCATTTAGTGACTGTTTGAAGTTACAATGGCACTAAAAAAAGTGAGTTTTGACCAGTGTTCACACTTAGGACCATTGTAGCATCCTATGGACAAGTGATCAAAATTTGGCAACTGGCATGTATTTATGTGATCACCATTGGTAACCTTACAATCTAGCTTCTGACAAGCAAAATCAATGGGGAAGCTGGATTCACTTAACCATGCAATACACTTTACTGCAGTGATTTGCTCAACAACAGTGGCAAAAAGGTTGTAAAATGAGGTAAAACTCAACAACTGCCTTGCTTAGCAGTGGAAATGTTAGGCTCAATTGTGTTTGTAAATTGAGGAATGTCTATATTTAAAGCCAGCAAAGAAGATGGACAAAGAAATAATTTTCTAGGGTGCCACTGTGGAACAGCTGAAAATATTAAGCTGACTCTGAAGCCCAAAGGCCAAAAATTGTATTTCTATAATTGGATCATGCATTATGCACTTATCATCATATGCTTCATGCTTTGTATTCAATAATCATGGGGATGATTTAAGTTAGAAAGTGTAATGTAGGGGCAAAAAATCTCCATGGCTTGGCCATAATAAATATTGGGGCACCAATCTAATGTTTGATTTTATTTATGCTACTTTTTCTCTCTTTTCTGTTATTTTAGAATGGCCTTGCTATGTTTTTAAAAATTTGCAAACTTTATAAACTGTTCTGAAAACTGTTGTTGACTTAATAAAACTAATGCATCATTTCCAGTCATGAAGTTGCAGCCCTATGCGGAGTTGTTCCATGTATGTGTCTTTTAACCTATTTATTATGATGATTTAACTGTCCTGAGGCAGTTACTCTTTTTCAGCCCCAAAATAGGAGGAGGGAATGTACAATGGCTTGAACTCCTGAACAAAGTACAGAGTGTAAACAAAGCAGACAAATAAACCAATCTCCTCAAAGTGCAAATCATAGTTTAGGTATTTTCTCCTAATGAAAGTGAAACTATAGTTTGAATTCTCTTACAGTTTCATGGCAGGAGGAAACTACTAAATTTAGAGAGGGACTGTCTAATATGTAGTGAGCCTTTTGAAAAGTTTTCTGAGATTTAAATTTCACTCTGCATTGAGGCTTCCTTAATGTGTGCAGAGTGCAGTCCTTAAATATTTACTTATCAATATTGGGGTTTTTTAACTTCGTTTATTAGTACATTTGTGCCATGCCAGGCAAAATGGCATATAGTGGCAAATCAAGGTTTGTTGAAATTACTCATGTTGCAGATTTCTCAGTGGCTTTGCAATTGCTCATGACTTGACCAATGCTTCTTGAAGATTTTATTTGTCTGAAGGTGTTTTATCTTAATCACACTTTGATCAATAGGGTGGTTCAGATGTCATGATTGTTCTGATTTCCATTTTGGTGACTTTTATGATTTGAGAAATCCAAACTTGTGCATCTAATCAACTAATAGAAGAACAAATTCCTTGTGTGTCCAATCACACTTGGCCAATTCTATTCTAAATGATGTTCATTATTTTTTATTAATATGGCTTTTAAATAGCTATTATTTCCTTGTCTTGATTTTGAACCCAGATATTTCCAAAGTAAAACACCACTGGAGGCATAATTGAACAAGCACAGAGAGAACTAAGGTGCCTCCCGGCTCCTAGATTTACACTCTGTCAATAGAACAGCTGAGCTTGCTATATTGCTATCACTTAACTTCCATTTTCCATAAAAGGAACTAATGCTGGACTAGCTTTCTCTGTCATGAGACTGGCAGAAATTAGTTGCTGTTTTGTGAGTGTGTTTCTTTCTCTTTAAAAAAAAAAAACCACCTCAAAATTATCTGAAGTTCTATAATTTTTTTTAAATCTTCCTTGGAAATGCACATATGTTTTAAGTCCCTAAAGCTTATGCGATTCAGCAAAAAGGAAGAGACTGAAACAATCAGTTGGACTGAGTTACATTCAACATTCCTGGTCTATTACGTGTCGGCCTGCTCCTACATGGAACTGGGGGAGTTTGTCTTTCAAAACTTGCTTCAATAGAGACGTTTTACGATTGATAGTCTTTTAAATTTCCCGAAAGATAACAAAGAAAGCAGAGGACCCAAAGGATTACATTTTCAAAATGACATGTAGATATGCGAGACTGAAGACATAACAAGAGGCTCGAGAGAGGCTGAGAGCTGTTGTGGAAACAAAATCAACTGTTAGATAAAGGAAAGAATAGCAAGTTTCCAAACTCAAGTATCAAGAAGTATCAAGAAATACAGGAGATTTCTTCAGCCAGCTATGAAGCCTTCTTTCTCAGCATTTACCTCCACTGATTTCTGCAGGAATTACTTTTAAGAAAGAATTGAGATGCATTGCTAATGCAGCTTAATCTATTTACAGTTGAATCCAACATTTCCACTCAAAAAGTGCCACTATATTCTATGAGATCAGCCTACAAAAATGTTTAGAACTGCAACTTTACCCATTTCCTATCTTCAAGTTAAACACCTTCCTAGAAT